CACACACACACACACACACACACACACACACACACACACACACACACGTGTTTTCCAAAATCCTCAAAGATATTCAGTTCAGTGTCACCGAGGAGGAAAGAAACCAGAAAATATTCACATTTAAGAAGCTGGAATCAGATAATTTTTACCTTTTTTTTATCCCTAGAAAAATGACTGAAACTGATTAATGAAAATAGTCAGCGATACCTGAAGCTGCCAACTAATGGATGACTCGTCGCAGCTCTATATCTGTGAGGAGTTTATTTATCTTATGAGTCATTGAATCTTTGTAGTTCAACATATTCTAACATTTCTCGGATCAATCGATGATGAAAGTGGAGATTAGTCCAAAGTGTTAGTGGTGCAATTACAACTTATTATACAGTATTGCATACTCGCGTTACGTGATATTTTAATACTCAAACACTGTTTCAACATATTTCGACTTAATGCTCTTTTAAACTTAATATTACCACATGTTTTTAGTAATTTCACTTTCATTATTTCTTGTAGTTGCCAGAATATCTTGAAGTTTTTCAACCTGTATTTGTTTGGGTGTAAAGTATTCTTTCACGTATTTACTTCCAACCATTATGAGGATCTGTACCGGATCATATCTAACCTGCAGGTCTGTGTTCATGCAGTTCATTGGTTGTATTTAGTCGTTTAAGACACCATAGAAATGTATTTGTTATTCTGTATATCAGTGTTTGTAAACGACATACAGTACAAATACCTGAAGCTACTCATAGTACCAGTGGTTGAAAGTAACTAAATACATTTATTCAAGTACATCTTTGGGGTTTGTTTCCTTAAGTATTTAAATTGTATGCAACTTTATACTTCTACATCTCAGAGGCAGATCTTGTACTTTTTACTCTACTACTGTCTGACAGCTTTAGTTACTTCTCAGATCGACATTTTACAAACAAACCATGTGACCAGTTTATGAAATATGATGACTGACTCTATCCATCAGTATATTAAATATTTAAAATGTGCTCCCTCAGCTGCTACATTACAAAGCATCATCAATAATATTCCAATAATATGATAATAATACAACACTCTGGAAGGGATACTTCTGCAAATACTTTGGAATTCTTACTTCAGTCAGATATTAAAAGGCAGGATGTTTACAGAGTATATAAATACACTATAATACTACTACTTTTACTTAAGTAACAGTTCTGAACACCAGTAAGATAATATCGTAAGATTGTACACAGAATGCAAAACATGAAATATAAAACATGTACGTTAGCTGCAAGTCAGATAATTTTTCAGATATTAGAATAACAAAGAGTTTTTTACTACCCAACTATAATTCATAATTTACTAATAACTTCATAATTACGTTATTCCACAAACAAGGTGAAGTCTCACCTCAACGCTACTGGAATGCAGACAGACAGCAGCTTGTTTACACTCAGTGTGTGTCAGACCGAAGCCTCGGTGCAGTTAATCAATCAACACCTTCACTCTGGTGTTTGTTTGGTTAAATCTTTACACTATTGTTTAGTTAGTTTATTTAATATTATTATATTTCATTGTATATATTGTGCTTTTTTTTTTTTTTTTTACATATAATTGTACTCTGTTATGCTTATTGTATATATTGTGCATTTGATATTTAATATTTTTACTCTATTTGTATTTACCTGTACCATAATTGTTGTATTACTTTGCATCTTATTGTATATTTAATATGTTTTACTCTGCTATTTGTATTGCTTTACTTGTATCTATAAATGCTGCTGTAGCGAAAACATTTCCCCTTGTGGGATTAATAAAGTAAATATCTATATCTATATAATAAATAAATGCTAACACTCGGTGTAGCTTAGTTAGCTTTTATTTTATTGTATATTTTAGCGTCATTAATTATCATATCCGCTTTATTGGCTCCTGTGAAGATAAATAATGTGATAACGGTTTACGTGAGGTGTGAGGTGTGTCCGACGTGATGCTGGTCCGCACCCACTGATAGCGAGCTAGCATCGAGCTAATATCGAGCTAACTAGCTGCTAACGTTAGCCGATGCTCAAGACGCCCCGTCTTTTCATAACGATAACTAAACGTAACGTGACGTAATCCGCTGCTGATTTCACGTCCGCTGTTTAGCGGAGGGTTGTTGTGAGTCACATAACTTGTTTAACCGTGTTGACATTTCGCAGAAAGGCTCGGTGAAAACAAAGCAATTAAGAGCACAAAGGTTTGACGGTCGGCTACGTTAGCATTAGCATAGTCAGTTCATATAGCTGGCCTGGTTAGCATGTCAGCTAACAGCTAACAGGACTGGAGAGCTGCAACAATAGCGAGAAAAAAAAGCTTTTGTTTTTACCTTTGAACAAATAATCATACTCGTCATCTCTAGTGCCCATCGTCTTAGTGGTAAATGGTTATTAGTCCAAGATTTAATGTGATTTAATGAAAGGAAGGCGATCTACTTCCAACGGGAATCTGTTTGGGAGCCGCACTTCCGCAATGTCTTCTTCGACGTTTTCTTTTCCAGCAGCACACGAAGACGACTGTGACATCTAGTGGATGGAAGATGGAGCTTTTGGCTTTACACGCTGTATCTATTTAAATCTGCTTTTAACCTGTAAAGTCAGTTATGTATGTTTTTTCTTTTTTTTTCCGTGTTGTTATGATGTCATCTATTTTGTTTTTATTGTAATTACTTCTATTGTTTCTGTTTTTGCCATGTAAAGTATCTTTGAGTACCTTTTACAGTGCTATACAAATAAAATGTATTATTATTATTATTAACCATAGAGTGTATATCCAGTTTAATAAACAATAAATGAAGATCTTAACCTACAGTAATTTATCGTAATTTATTAGTTGAGTTGTATTATGTGTGAATTATATGAATCAGAAAAAAAAATCTCTACAACTACGATTTATATTTCATGTTACAACTTTTGCATTTTGTTTTATGATCATGCTAGTATTCAGATATTTTACTTAAGTAAAAGTAATAGAGTGTAAAGATACTCTGTTACAAATACATTTGTGTATTCACTTCACAATCTCACTTATATGCGAGTACTAAAGTATTAGAATCACAACGTACTTAAAGTATTAAAGTGAAATTCCCATTAGGCAGAATGGTCTCTTCCAGGGAGATATATTATAATCATATTATTGAAATGTTATATTATACTGCTATTAGTACTGCTGCAGCATTTTAATCTAACAGCGGGTGGAGCACATTTTAACTACTTTATATGCTGTATATATAATAATTCAATAGTAATAATTTAATCTGTTGCACAACAGTGTCTTATTTTATAAACTGATCACGTTTTTGTAAAATCGTTGATCTGAGAAGTAACTAAAGCTGTCAGAGGAATGTAGTGGAGTAGAAGTAAAAAAGATGCATCACATGGAAATACTCAAGTACAAATTTGAGGTACATTTACTTTGCTTAAGTACAGTTTACTTGATTAAATGTACTTTACAGGGAAGCACAGTAACTGTCAAAAGTCCTTAACAGTTAGAGTACAAATATATATATATATATATATATATATATACAGTATATATATATAAATAACAGTTAGAGTACAAATATATAGATTTGAATTTGAATTTGTTTGAATTTAAAGATGGCAAAATACACAAATAACAAATAACTGAACCACCTACAATTACTGCAATACTACTATTACTACTACTTCTAATAATAATAATAACAATAATAATAATAATAACTTAAAAAAATTACAATAAAAATTATAGAAAAAATGTCTTCATTTTGTTTATTACAAAACATTTAAAATTTAAATTTCTGTCTCAGTGAACAAAATATCAAAACAGTCGTTGAGTCCTTTTTTATTTTTTGTAATCAGGAAATAAGTTCTTCCACTGCCAACAGAAAGAAGAGGACAGACGTTAAATTACATATTTTATGCTTTCAATAACATCAACATGTCTGATTATTGGTTCTGACTTGCATTTTTACCCCAGGTGGACTTGGACTTCTTGTTCTTCACATCCTTCAGAGACTCGTACGTGTTTCTCTGGACGGCATTGGCCTGACCTGGGATCTGCTCATAGGTGTTATCGGGCAGCCCGGCAGGCGTTGGCCTCCGGGGAACCTCGGAGTACATGACGTCTCCCTGCTGAGCCGAACCCCCACTAGACCCCGTCGAGGTCTGGTACAGCGGGTTGGACTGCAACACTACCACGCCCTGCTGCTCTGACCTGGAGCTGTCTCTGGGATCGGAGAGGGAGTAGGTGAGACAGGTGGTCCTCTTCAGAGGAGTGGGTGAGTGAGATGTTAAGGAGGGTCTACTGAACTGGTTCGAGTACGCCGCCGCCTCCTCCTCCTCCTCCTCCATGCTGCTGTGGTTCAACATCGGTAGAGATTTTGTCCTGATCTCGGGATAGCTGGTGTGAGCGGCGTTGAATGAGTCTCTCTCAGACATTAGTGCTGGGTTTGTGTTTCCTCGGACTCCCTCTGGTCCTCTTGGGTCGGTCTGGGTTTGGGATGTTGTGACGGGCAAAGATCCACTCAGGGAGAAGCCCAGAGGAAGGCCTCTCTTTGGTACTGGAGGAACACCCTGAAAGACATGACACCAGAACACTTTGATTCATGGATGAAAAAACAATCTCTCCACATGGTCCATTAGTAGCTGCTGGTATCACATGATCTTCTTCAGCTGACGGAGGATTCTTAAAGGATTGTCTTATTGTGAACAAGCAAAAGCTGCAATGCTCAATGCCATTAGAACAGAATGGAAGTAGAACCACAGACTGTCTATAAGAAGTGGACGTATCATCATCACCTCACCCATTGTAGACTACATGGTTTTGAAGCCTTGAGTTCTGGATTTTGGAGGTTGCCATCTTGGTTTGTTGACACAAGAGGGTGGAGCTAAGTACAACTAAACGCTGAAGAAGACATTTTTAGGACCCAAATTTTTTCATGAAGTGAAAACACTATCCTGCTACATTCATTTGAATGGGACTGTGCTTTTGAATCCCATTTTATTCCTGTGCTCAATACCTTCTGACGCAGTTTTACTTCAGTGAAATATCAGAATATTTCTTCCACCACTGCAGAGGTGTCTGAAAAACACCTTTTGATGAAGTTACAGAACTCTAAATGTGTTTTTGCATGCAACACAATTCCTCAACAAACAAACATTTATGCTTGAATCCATCAGTTGTCACTTCCCTCATACCTGTGAGAGGGACATTGTGTCTACAGACACCGTCCCCGTCAGCTTTCTGCCTTTGGATTTGAGCGGCAGTGCAGGCTGATGAAGTGTCGGAGCGTCATTTTGCCGCTGAATCCTCCGGTTTTTGCCCGGGTCGCTGTGAGGATCATGTTTCTGGTCCCACAGAGTCCGCAGAGCTTGAACACTCAGGCTGGGCTTCATTTTGCTGTTGTAATTCACCACATCATACAGTTCGCCTGTGTCTACCTGAAAATAACAAGCAGCCTTATTGTCTCCTCACAATGTAAATGATGTTGGTGCCAGTCAAATTAAAACCGGCTGTAACGGCCCCTCAGACGTAGAAGCGTATTGTTTTGAAGGGCATTAACCGGCCAAACCCTGTGTTATGTTTTAATGTCTGATGTTATAATATAAAACTACCGTCATTAAAATGACAGACCTGCGTTACATTAGAATGAACAAACTTAAATACAAATGCAATCTTTAGGAAAGAATGTGCATCAAGTGAATTACAAATGATCTGGCACACAAAAGGACGAAGAAGTGCCTCTTCAGTTATTTCAAGGCAACAGATCAACACTTGAAAAAAACATGATAAACTTACAATTTATGTAATTTGAATATTGTGTCAAAATAGATTTATTTAGATGTATTTTTTGCTTGTTTCTGTTGACAAGAATTCTTTAAAAAAAAATTGCATTTAATATTGCTGGAGAACAAAGTTATTTCACCTAAAACTACATTTCCTGTCAACTGCACGTAACGTTTTACAGTGTGAACATGTATTCCTTCAGGTAAAGACCCTCCTCACCTCCAACCAACAGGAGGTCAGGTATTCTCCAAAGGGCTGGATGGGGCTGACTCTGTGATGCTCGATCAGCTCAACGAGACCTCCGTGTGTCCGACAGTCTCCTGATATCACGAACTCTCCGTCTGGATTCTGGGTGATGACGAAATGGCGGCACCTGTCGTGGCCCCTTTTTTTTTTTTTTTTTGGGAGAGAAAAGCAAAAGCAACGACCAGTGAGATGAATCGGAAAAGGCCAGCAAAAGATGCGACCGAACAGGGTGGAACAGACTAGTATTGTTTATTTTTTGCTCACTTGTAGGACAGGATGTAGCCGATGGCTTTGTCACTGAGGCGGATGAGAAAACAGCCCGGAGCTTTATCTCTCAGTAGATCTTCCGTGTCCCTGAAGGCCGAGAGAGAGGCGGAACCGATTAAACAAATTAGTCTTAAAATATCTCCGTCATGTCATGAAACCTCTGCTTTCTGTGAGTGATGTGCGTGAGAGGGATCGAAAAAAGAAAAAAGAGATACAAGCTGAACAAGTGATGATACCTCAATTCATGTTTCACCCAGAGTCTTTGATCCTGTCCAGTAAATTGATTTATTAGCTTTTATATCTGAAGAAGACTATCGCAGGTTTCAAGCGGTGATTATAAATTATGGTCTTAGTGCACTCAGATGTCATGCATACAGCCTGATATGATGATCAGTAGCTTGTGGTGGCTAATGTTAGCAAACTTCAGGTTGATATTGGTGTGAAACTGACATTAAAGTGACTGTGAGGAACCTTTAACTGGTCCTGAACCAGTCTCAGTGTTGTCTCAGAGACCGGTCCACCGTGGACAGACCCAGATCCTCTAGCAGAGACCGGTCCACCGTGGACAGACCCAGATCCTCCAGCAGAGA